GGGGCTAACCATACTATCTCAGCTTTTCCTGCTCATCTGCACGGAGCATTAATGCAGTCAGGTCCTGCTCTCTGCCAGAATACTCACCAGAACACTGACAGTCCCCAGGCCTGGCTCACCCGCTGGGGAAGGGAAAAGCTGTGCAATGGAAGAAAAATCTTCAAAAACATACAGCAGCCACCTGATCAGTCTCATCCCAAGAAGAGGTGGAAATGGGACACATGCTTCAAATATACAAAATACATAGCACACTCCTGCAGACAGGAAAACCTAACTGCAGGGATCTCAAAGAGGACATTCCCAAGTGAAGGATACTTCTCTTGCCAGCATTAACTATATTCCATTTTTCCTTGGGAGATTATGAAAATAGCTTCCTGCCCATCAAAACACTTGATAAATACCAATACCAAATGCCACCAGAACACTGAGATATTAATTTGCAGTCCAGAGCAAGCCTGACTGCTCCACAGGGAGCTGGGAGCAGTGGCCACACAAACAAGAAGAATACTAATTAGCTGATTGCTCTGTGAGGACAAGATCTACTGCCCAACAAAGCAGCCCTGCAGAGGAGAGGAACAGCAGACCACAATTAAAAGAAAACCTCAAAACAGACAAAGAGCCTGTGACTTCACAGATGTGAAACATCCCTAAACAAGGATGAAAGAAAGTTATTAGGGAGAAGAGACCAGAGGAGCTCAAAAAGTAAGAGGCTTTCACATACAAATTTACCACCTCCCTGCCTCTGAGACTCTTCCACACGTTGGAAGGGCAGCAGGGAACACGGTGACTCCTTGCTCTCAGCTCAATACATCTAGGCCACACCAAGGCTGCTTAAGTATGCAACTAAAGTCCAAAGCCACACTTGGTCCCAGGCCAGCTCAATTTGATTCAGTTTCTAGGGATTAAACTGGACAACTCAAGTCCATACATGTGCAAGTTTCTATTTTTCAAAGGTGTGCCACCCACTGACCTCTGATGAGCATTCAGAGGAGTGATAAAACAAAGGTATAGAGAGACTCAGGCCACTCAGCTCCTGTGTCACAAGCAAGAGTCTCCAGAAAAAAAGCCAAGCCATCTGCATAGCACAGACCAGCTATTTTTAACACCAGCCATGACTTATCAGCTCTACAGAACAGTTTCAATCAAAACTTTTCAGTAATTGTCAGTTCATGACAAAGATTGGAGAGGAAAACAGTTTGGCTCAAAACATTTGACAAGAAGACCTTTAGAGGAAGCACGAAGCACCTCAAGGCACCTCTGAAGGGTGACAAGAAGAGACCATCACACACACCAGAACAGAGAGAGTCAAGGCAAGACATTTTTTCTGAAGCCTCAGTGATGTAATCCGCTGCATCTGGAAAGGTTTATTAGATTAAAGAAAGGAATTAAGTGCTCTGGAGAGCTGCAGTGTCATACTCGGAATATCTGGGGAATTTCACTTGACTCTGTGAAACCCACAGAGGGTCAGGAGAAGCAGGCAATCCAGTACCAGGGGGGATGGCAGCTCACCTGTCAGAAAGGCTACTGCTGGTCTAGCCCTAGCTAGAAGGTGAAACAGGATCGGGCACACCACTAACTCCAGTCTTACCCAGCTGTGTAATAAAGCAACAGGAAACTCCTCCCTTCAGTTTGAGCAGAGGTTTGCCAGACAGAAAGGGCTGCTCACTGTTGTGCCAGCCAGCACTGTCATCTCTAGCTCAGCTCTGACAAGGGAACACTCTGAGCAAAGGACAGGAATGTCACCCAGGAGAAGGAGCTGAGCAGGCAATGACTGTGAAGGTACGAGGGGGCTGCAAATCCAGGCAGCTAGCACAAAGCAGGCATAGAGTCTGAAGAGTTGACAGCACAATATGGAGATGCTGGCTGCTGCAAGACACCAAAGCCTCTTTTTCTGTGAAATCCACATGCTTTTACTCTGTGGCCCACTGCCACTTTCAAATATATCCCAGACATTAAATGCAGACTGTATCTGGCTTAAGCTGCAGTTGTTAGCAAGAAGTAGCTTCCAGCCATTGTCCAATTAAGCAACAATAAAAGTTGTCATAAAAATCCTGCTGTGCCATTTCAAGAATGCTTCCCAGGCCTTACTGCATCTAAGACCACCAATCCTTCCTGCAGACAGAGTCCAGCAGCACATCTCTGCTTTAAGCTCACTCACCTCTTCTGAAGGCTCTCCCCTATTCTGGCTCAATTCCCAGCCCCGTCAAGGGAAACAGAGTTAAAGGCAATGCTCTGCATCCTGCTGCAGCACTGCCCTGAGCCTCAGAAAAAAAACAAACCACCATATTCTCAGTTAATTCCAAAAAAATTTGCAGACTTGATCCTTGCTGACACAGGACTGGCAGAAAGAGACCTGGCTCATCTTACAGCTCTGCTCCCAACCATGGGAGAGCTGCAGCTCCAGGACCCAAGCATACATATTCCTGGCATGTGACTTGGTTATTCCTGTTCACAAATGAGAGGATGCAATGCTGCAGTTAACCCAGTCTGTGAGCTGCATCAGAACCAGAAGCATCAGCCATCTGTGTACCTGCTTAGGTAGCTGTAAGGTTATCATAGAATCAACCAAGTTGGAAAAGACCTCCAAGATTATCAAGTCCAACCCTACCGTGGTCACTAGACCATGGCACTAAGTGCCACATCCAGTCTCATCTTAAAAACCTCCAGGGATGGTGAATCCACCACCTCCCTGGGCAGCCCATTCCAATGCCTGATTACTCTCTTCATAAAAAACCTCTTCCTAATATCTAACCTAAACCTCCCCTGGCAGAGCTTGAGTCTGTGCCCTCTTGTCCTGCTGCTGGTTGCCTGGGAGAAGAGACCAACCCCCACCTGACTCCAACCTCCTGTCAGGGAGTTGTAGAGGGTGACAAGGTCTCCCCGAGCCTCCTCTTCTCCAGGCTAAACAACCCCAGCTCCCTCAGCCTCTCCTCATAGGATCTGTGCTTGAGTCCCTTCACCAGCCTCGTTGCTCTTCTCTGGACCTGCTCCAGCACCTCAATGTCCCCCCTGAACTGAGGGGCCCAGAACTGAGCACAGGATTCAAGGTGTGGCCTTATCATCCATCTGATATGAAATCCTACCTGCTTCAGGTCTGCACAGGTCTGAGTAACAAAACCAGTGTCTCTCACATCATCACTTGAGCCTTTCTCCTTACCAGGCCAAACTCCTGAAGTCAAGATCTACCCAACAGTCCCCAAACTAATCATCCAGGTATGAATGCTTCTGAGGGTCTGTCTCGCTCCGTATTTGTGTGCATGATTCTCCCTCTCACTAGCAGCAAGGCAGCCTCTCTACCTTATTTCCCTGCTCAGGAGGTAGCACCAGGCCAGCATGCTTCGAGGAAAAGAGCAACCAATAAAATGCAGTTTCTCCAATTCACGACTATTCCCATGACACTAGAGACAGGAGTAATCATACGCATACAGTTCCTGCTTCCCCAAATGGTGCCTCCCTCAGCAGCTCCAGATCAGAGGTTCACCTGACTCATTCCTACTACTGCCTTCTGTCAGCCTTGACACTCCCTGCCACCCCCAAGGCTGCCATCCTCCAGTGCCTATTCATAAGGAAGGCAACAAAAAGCAGAAAAAGAGCCATCTTGCTCAGCTTCAGTTTCTGCCACAGTCCTAACTTGAAGATGACAGACTGCAGCAAAGTCTTTATGCTCCTGGGCTCCCAAACCAGGATGCACTCAAAGAAGGTCCCCTAACACTGTGAACCAGCACAGTGCTCCAGGTGCTCCATACTGAGGGGCAACTCAGACAAGTTTGTGTTACTGCATATGAGGACATAGAGATGGTCTTCACCTCAGACCCACAACACATCTCTGCTCACTGCAAAGCAGCATGTCCCAAGGCTACATCCCACCTTACCTGCAGCGAGAAGGTCAGTGCAAGCTCCGTCTCCACATGTCCACTCGGGGGCAATACAATCTCGTGAGACCGCAGGATGCGCTTGGAGCCCTGTACAGAAGCAAAGTCCATCGGGTGAATTCCCCTTACCATCCTATCCCAGTCCCATTCACTGCAAACCAGGAAACATTGTCAGCGACTACCACAGTGAAAGTGAACGGATGGGTATGACCTTGCACTTCTGTGAAATATTAATGAGATGAAAGGGAGACATTTGACTAATAAAGATTTGGGCATATTTACTGTCCCTAACTGTAACAAAGCAGCCTTTGTTCTGCCAATCCCCAGCATTGAAAAGCTGTGACTCAACCCCCACCCCTCAAGTTGAAGTCTCATATTTTCACTTCAGCCAATAGGTAACAAGGCTCATCATCTCCTGGGTCTGGAGGCTGCAGCATCATGCTTAAATCTCCAGTGTTAGCCATGACAGACTGGGCTTTTCTGTTTGTGCACACACCCCTCCCTGGGGAAAGTGGAGGCTTCAACCTGTTTAAACAACTGCAAATAGCTGGGGCTATAAAATACAAAAATCCACTAAGCATCTCAGTGGAGTCTGGAGACCTAATGTACCACAGGGCAACTCCAAATCAATGCTGTGTGTGGGTTGCTGTAGGCTAACAGTTACTGGGCTATTAACTGCATGAGCATTTCATTTCAGGGCATGTTTGAGGGGAAAACTAGCAGGAAAACACAACAGACTGCTGCTGCCTAGCTAACCCTTCTGCACTGTTCAAACACAGTGGCAAGTTTCAGAGGTCCCTGGCTCAATGTTCTGCTGAGGCTGCAGATCTGGCTTTGTCCAGACAGGCTGATCTCCCAGAAGCACAGAACTGTAGCTCTCAAAAAAGCAGCATCTGGGAAATCAGACAGACTGGGGGGATAAACACCTCCAAGCTACATCCAAAGGGAAATGTGGCCTGCCCGTATCAGCCTCAAATAGCATCATGAGATGAGACAGCAGCAGAGCCTCGCTAACATCCCTCCCTCCCCAAACGCATCGCTCTGGCAGCCAGAGCAAATGCTGTGATCTGCAGCAGTGCCTCAGCTCCTGCACAGCACTGGCTCCTCGGTGGAAAAGCCAAGGTGCCTGAGCTGCAGCAGATCAGAAGACAGACAGCAGTGCAGAGCGAGGGACCGAAGGGCTGCCCCCAGGACAAGCAGCACACGTGCAAGAGCAGCACAGCCAGCCTGGCCGCTGGCAACAGCGGCAGCTGCTCCATTTGTGCAAAGCTCCTAATAGCAGCAATCTTGCTTCACTTGTTACGCAACCAGAAATCTAATGAAAGACCAAATATAGTTGCTTTTAAAAGACCGCAGCAGATAAACACAGCAACGGCTCGGGAAATAACAGTTGACAACTCTTTGAACATCACTGCTCAGGAGGCTGCAAGGAGACACGGGAAATGCAGGTAAGATGCTCTCATTAGGTCTGAATTCAATCATCCCCTCTGGAAGGACTCCAGTGCCTGACACCTCTCGTGCAATTCCCCTCACAAAGGCAGTGAGTCACTTGACAGAGATCATATATTTGATGATCCAGTATTACCAGCCACAAACAATAGCCATGTCAGAAACCTGAGTGCTGGCAAATGAAGCATCCCTGAAAGAGCTTGTCAGCACCAGCATCATAACCTGCAAGCTATAAAGGGACTTTTAATAGCAGGGCTGCAAACCTGCCTGTGTCTGAGATGGCTGAAGCACTACTGACCCACCGTTAAACTGCACATCCCAAAGAAATATGGGTGCTGAGCCAGCACAAGGGATACCCAAGGTGATGCACTCTCTGGGACAGTGGTGATCCCAGCCACTGTCACCTCTAGGTCAACTGGACAGGGCAAAATAAGGTTAGCCTGGAAATGTGAGCTGCAGCCTGGGACTTGGCAGGTACACATCCTGAACAGGGCAAGTCCTTCTGCCTTCCAGTTCCTCAGGGATCTCACCTGGTGTGGAGAGGATTGCTCAGGTTCCAGCATCTGAATTACTACAGCAAGGCTGATCACAACACATACCCAAAATGGGATATGGAAGCCCCATGTGTTAAAACTTCCTTTGGACTTGTGGGGCTGAGGCAAGCTTTCACTTACAGAAAGTGCAAGCAGTCAACAGTAACCTAACAGGGAAAGAAGGTTTTGCTCCAGTAAAAGCTACTGAATTCTCGAGCTCAGGTCTGACAGGCTCTGGATGTAGACTGTTCACTGACAAGCCTCAGGCCCTTACAGTGATGCACCTACCATCTAGGAGTACAAACATACGGAAAGCTTTCAGCCTTGACAAGCAGTATCTGACAGCCTGGAAACCCACAGCAGTGTTTCTTCTGAGGCTGCCACAAATCCAGGTGTGTGAAGTGATTCCCTGCCTTTCTGCTCCCTGCTGTGGGTGCATGAACCCCCTCCAACACAGAGGGACATATTTTTACCCCAGCTGGATGACTCATAGTGATGAGAGATATAAATCAAATCCTTAGCTGCATGTTTCTGCCCCGTAGAACCTTCCTGATTTCATTTTCCAAGCTAGATTTTGTGTGCTTTGACACAACCAGCTCTCTGCAGGGGTTTGCCTAGCTCTTTGTTTGCAAAGCAGCAGCTTTTCAGCATGGTTAATGGCATTTTCCTACTTATAGGTCTGCCTGGCTTTTACTCGTTAAGCACTTTAGCATTTGCAGTGGTGGGAGCACGTGAGCCGAACTGATGCTCTGACGCACGGCGGAACCGAGTCCCCTTCCTTCCTAGCCTGCCTCTAGGCAGTGTGACCTACATGGAGGCACCTAATTAAATGGCACAAATGTATGCTGTAAAGTGGGTTATTTACCTAGGATGACAGCTGTATTTTATGGAAAGATATAAACACAGCAGGGAGCAGGCATCCTACAAATCCATGGACAAGCACCTGGCTATGGATTCGATAGCAGAGCTGCCCATCAGCAGAGGATGGCTCAGACTCCAGACCCCCCAAATCAGGACCAGGTTACCAAGATGTTCAGCCCAGAAGTGAGCCAAAGCATGTTAAGTAGAGAACCAGGCTTGGATTTAGTGACAGCTCAAGAAGAAGAGGTGACAGCATATGATCTGTAAAGAGCACTGTTACATGCAGATAAGCTCATGCTGAGCCATCAGTGAACAATATTCTATGGTTACAACAACAAAATGCAGCAGGAACATGGGGAAGGGCTCAGAAGAGACTCTCCACACATCCAGAATACCCTGATGTATTTGGGAAGAAGTCTGTGGCTGCAGTGGACCCTTATGTGGAGGTGAAGCTCAGTTTGGGCATCTGCCAGTGTTTTTAGTCAAATAACAAATTTCTTAGAACTGAGCAATTACCTGCATTTTGACAGCAATGACCCCAGAAATAAGCTCCTTATCCAACTCCTTTAAGACTACCAGTTTCTTTAATGTCAAGCTGCACAACCTGCAAACAGGAACAAAAGAAAAACAGTTACAATGATGCCTGAAAAAGAAAAAGCTCTGAACAGCTTTTACACACAGCAGTATCCCAGTTAAAGTGTGAACAGGCTCCAGACACAAACCATGCACTGATACAGACATAAAGACAGCAGAAATACATGAGGCTTCCCTGCCTTCTCAGACTGAAATTCTCCAACTTTTCATAAACACAAGGAGGTAGACAGGAGGCACAGCTCCCCCTGATACAGACCCATGGCCACATGAGAGCACCACACAGCACTGACTTCCATGGAACACAGCTTGGGAAGCCCTGCTTCCAGTCTGACCAAAAGCTTCAGGGTCAGAGGAATTAAATTCCAGCAATATAAAAGCACTGGGTCAGTCTAATTTTAAACTCGTCTACAAAGCTTTCCTAGATCATTGCCTTTTTCAGTTTCAGACTCCTGGTTCCCAAAGATCTCACTCCTACCTCTTCCTGTCAATCCACATATTCTCCTCCTCACCCCCAAACAAAAGTGCTAGCAAGTGGCTCAGCTGTCTCTAATGGGAAAGGGGGAAAAAAAAGGAAAAATAAAGAAGGAGAGGACTCAAGTGGTGCCCTCTGGCCCTGGTCTTCACATGCCACACATATGCAAGTAAATCACATTCTTCACCCAGGCAATGCTACATTGTTCTGATTAAAGCTGTTTGCACTTCTGCCTTCCAGCACAGGGAGGCTGGAAACAGATGAAGTGTGCAGCAGAGTTCAGGCTCAGAAGTAACGGGACTGTGGTATTGGCACAGTCACAATTTCACAGGAGTTAGCACCAGCTGGAGGAATGAAGTAGGCATACCCATAAACACACCTCAGGGAAAGATACACCTGAAGCGAAGGCAGTTCAGCTTGAGGAAAGCAGAGGCCAGAGAAAGTTGCTGGGTGGGCTCTACTGACTAGACATCATCTGTCACACTGGCCCAGAGCCAGCACTGCCTTTGTCTCAGCTCCCTATCCCATGGCATGGGCATCTTTGGCCTCTGCCATGGAATGTTAGCAGGCCTCAGCATGGCTCCTCTCAAACCCACTGCTGAGCTCTTTCCCCCCACACAGAGCATAACATCAGGGCTGCTCATGAAGGGATGAAGTCCAGCAGTGGGTGGGAAGGGGAGCCGACACCGGATTTTGGTGCATGCCCAAGCACCAGTAGCACAAGTGCCATTGACTGAAGCCTGCACTTGAACTACAGTACTTCACAGTGGTGCCAGGAGCCCAACAAGTCAGCACTGCAAGGGTGACTTGGACCTCCATCATCTTTTCCACCACAGTGGGAAGCTGGAACATTGCTTTGCTGCAATGCCTGAAGGTAGGCACGATCAACCTGGGTGCAAAACTGCAGGAGAGACACCGCTAAAGGCTCTTCATGACGGCAGCTGTGGCAGATGTTGAAGCAAGTGCTGCCTGTCTCATGCAGAAACATCCACGGCTCTGCCTCAACTCTGCCCTGTCACACAGGCTAGTAACAGGGAAGAGCCAGTCTGAGATATTTTGACCTGCACTCAAGTACCTCTCCAAACACATCCATGCCTACCTCTCTTCTCCAGCCCAGCCCATGCCATCTGCTCTCCCTTCTCATTTGCAAAGCACTGGTTCCTGCGACCAGCCCTGAAAAACCACGAGAAAGACAACTACAAGCTCTCTCCTTTAGGGAGTTCTGCACCAGAACTCACTGCAGCCAGAGATGCTGTAAAAATTACAAGGTAGAAAAACCAGGGCTGCCTGGGCCTCTGTGCCACTCTGTCACACCTTCAGCAGCTGTGCAGTGTCACAGAGACAAACGTGCTAGAGGTGGTGAGCCTGGAGGCACTGGGTGCTGGAGGAGGGACAGCAGGAGCAGCAGGACAGCTGCAGCTGGGCTGGGCTGGTGGAGAGGAACCAAGCTCACTTCCCCCCATGGCCAGAGCCTCCCCGAGAGAGGCAGGAGAGCACACACCAGCACGTCCCACTGCAAACCTAACTGTCCCTGGCCACTGGAAGTCAGGTGAAGCTGCATCCCTCAACCTGGAGTACAGGACAGGGTGTCTGTTTTCCTCTGCATCCTGAACAAAACAGCAAGCACAGACACACGTGGCTGCTGCCGTGAAGCAGCTGGGCCAGGGTCTGGGGAAAAGAGGCTGTGAAGCCATTTGTTTGCTTTGTAACACTATAGTTGGAGGACAATCGTGCTCAGCTTGCCAAAACCCACAGAGCTTGGGCCAGTCAGGTGCTGAGACCAGAGGTAGGACAACACACTGGCATTGTCTTGGCTGATGGGCAAGGAACAAAGACCTTTTCTCTCTAGCCCCGAGCTCGAGGATGGAAAAGGTACAGGAAGAAACAATGGTGTTCTCAGCACACACAGCAGAGCACAAGGAGGGCGTTCTGTTCTCTGCCGGGCATTCCTTCAATTCATCATTTATGAGCTTTGATCAAGCCCTGTAGAACACTTGCTGTTTGGAAAAAAAAATATAAAAAAAATTAAGCCTTCTTTACAGTGGTCAGAAAAACAAAAGCAGTTAAAAAAGACATGGGACACATCTGCTTTCTTTATCCCCCATCGCTGGGCTGCTGGTACTAAAAGGCACTTCAGACAAAAAAACAATGAAATGTTTATCCTCTCCATCGGCAAGGGAGGGGGAGGGGGGGATGGATAAAAATCAGAGTTTAAATCCCACCAAATCACTCTGACCCTCAACACACTTACTGTTCCAGGTCTTCAGTCTAAGTCTGCAGCTTACAAATCACAGCAACCTTCACAGTATGTTGCAGAAAAGGGCTATACCTTACTCAAATCATCATGAAAAAGCATATGCCAAGCATGTCACTGCATCCAGAGCCAGTGTGGCACTCCTGCCACCAGCACAAGGATCCTGAACTACTCACACAGGGAGGTACAACAAGGATTTGTGTGCCATAACTGCCACGTGGTGATAACGGTGGCATTTCCTTCCATACACATATCTTTAGTTTAGGTTTTGCTGTCTTTCCATCAAGTCTCAGTGATCAGGAAAGGAAACAGTCTCACTAGCAACTTCTACCAAGTGATCAACTATCAATTGAACCTGTTGAGGTTAAACATTGATAAGACAAACAGGACAGACACAGGTGGACCCAGAAAGATCTGAAAAAAGAGCAAGGTGACATTTGGAAGTTTCTAATACATACAGAAATGATCTGTGTGAACACAGGGAAAATAACCTATCACACACACACACAAGGGGAACTGAGGAAGTCTCAAGTCTGGAGCTGAAATTGCCTGAAGTATTTTGAAAATCTGGGGCTGCAATACAGGAGGTGCCGAGAAACCCATTCTTGGCATGTTTGTTTCAGCAGTGACCTACAGTTGCATGTGGGGAGTTTAGCTAGCAAAAGCACTGTTAGCTGCAGTGGTGTTAAATAAGGGCAACGGAAATCCAAGAGCCAGTATTTCCACCCTTTTTTTGAAGGTTCATAGTGGATCTCCCTGCTAGGAGCACAGCTGGGTCCCACCCAGCAGCAGGCAGTGCCTGCTGAGCAGTTTGTGTCCCCTCCCGTCACACGTGTCCCCATGGCGAGGAGGCACAAGGTACTTGCCTGACCCCATCCCCAGGTTAACAAATCATGAGACAGCTTAATGTGTTCTACAATAAAACTCCATCTTTTTACATCACTGCTGCAAGAACACAGTTTTCAAGTGGAAACCTGGACCTGTCCCAACGGTTTTGACTCGTTCTGCTAATGCAAGTTGTACCGAGTAGCTTCATCATGAGCTCTTTGCTTAAGGAGGCAAACTGCAAAGAACATAACATTTTGGTAACTGAGATTCAGCAAACGTGTCCAGAACAACCAAATAAAGTGTCGCATTCTTTACTCACTGGATGTTTTGCTTTTGCATCCCTCTGAGTAGGAAGAACAGGAAAATAAACCCCCTCCAAGAAAGAGTCTGCCTTGCTGAATTAAATGTCTGTTTCTCCACAGGGAGCACAGTAATTGCACCGAGACCTTGCTCATGCAGAGACAGTCGAATCAACAGGAAGGAAAAATTAAAAATTAAAGACCTGGATTTTAATTAAACCCCACAGAAGTAGAGAATAATAACCGGATGCATCCACAGCTATAGGGGACTTCAAGTGCAAGATGGGACCTGAGGCAAGAAGACTCAAACTACACAGATACTGTTTGTTCAGGTTAAAAGCTGTGAAGATAGTGTCCCTAGAGAAAATGTTTCATGCCAGAAGCACTCTCCTCCAAGGTCTGAAAACCTCAATCAGCTGATGGCTGTAAGGAAGGACCTTGGTCTCCATTTGGCCACTGGACAGTTTCACATCACACAAAAGCTATTTCAGCATTTCAGGACAGCAAGCAGCCTCCTACCCTGGAGCTTTTAACATCAACTTTGAGCATTTTGCTCTGAGTTGACACTTTACACCCAAGTCAGTCCCATAATAAATCACAAGCCACTTGAAGGCGAAGTGGAGGGAGACACCCACCTAAACACACGCTTGCCCAGACAAACAGAGCCATTCTACACGTAGCTACAGAGGTGTCTGTGCAGGAGAGGCTGGAGCAAAGAGCCCTGCACAGCATTTCCAGAGACAGCTGCTTCAGTAAGGTATAGATGTATGCAGCACACGAACAGCTGACTGCACAAGTAGCTTCCTACGGCTCCTGTGCACGTGTCTGGGAAGAAAAGAACAACCCACGGATGAACCTGTTGCTGTGCTTACATGCTAAAGACAGGGCTCTGTACTGGCCTAGGAGAGTTAGCTCAGGGAGAAGTGCTGTCCTCTAACGTCACTGATGCATCAGAGTGGGGCCTCCAGGCAAGGGCAGCAGTGGCAGGAGCTGCAGGAAGATGCTTCTTCACTTTCCAAAGCTTATGTGATAATTCCCTCAAAGCAATCTAAGCTCGGTCCCATTATCTAGGAAGCTCCAAGGCAAGATGAAATTAACTGAGGCAGCAGAGGTCAAGCACCCCAATTTTCTGCCGTGCCAGAAACACAGCCTGA